TTTATAGAGGTAACCGGCTAGAAGTGTCATGAACTCGTACCACCACCATTCCAAACAAACACCAAGGCAGCTCGGAATTGCTAGTTGAAGCAGGGTTCTCCATTCCTCGTAAAGTGAAGTTCTCGTGTTTGAAGGCAGAACTAAGAGTTTGAACAGATGTATCTTTTCCTCGTGAACATAGTATAAATAGCCTAAAAGAAGGAGCAAGATGTTAAGGTTGGCAATAAATGTGGAAATTGCGATTCCTTGGATTCCGAGATGTTGGTGGAAAGTAAAGAAAACGGTGATGGGAAAATGTAGAACTGTTGCCACAAGGGTGCACCAGAGCATTGGCCATATTGTCCCTTTGCTACGTATGTAGATACGTAGAGGATGAAGTAGGCTGTGGGTCATAAGATCGGGGATTGCAAATCGGCAGTAAAGACTTGCGATGTGCACTACTTCGGGTTCTTGGTGGAGCAATAACAAGATGGGGCCAAGATAAATCCAGAGCATTGCGATTGGTATCGATGCGAAGAGCAGCAAAACGATCGTTCTTTGTAGAGTGAGAGACACCATGGTGAAGTTCTTGGAACCGAAAGCTTGGCTGCACAGTGGTTCCATTCCCATGGCTAGGCCGAAAAGCACAGAGTAGCCTGTGATGTTTGTGAAACCGATGGCTAAGGCACCTCCTGCTAGCTCCAAGCTCCCTAGCCTTCCCATGCACGCTACTGAAATCATGTTTTTTAGGTACGTTAATATACCCATAACCAATATGGGAAATCCAATGTCGAGTACATTCTTGAGTTCCTCCACCACCTGGCAATAAAAAAAAATAATTTGTCAGAGTTAAGACACAAGACGAAATACTCTGAAATTTTTGAAGATTTTCTTGTTCTTACCTCTATCATTGTCAGGTTCTTTTTGGTATGCCCTGCTGCCATCTTTTTTTCTTTTTCCTATTTGCTTTTTTTTTTCTTTTTTTTTTCTCCACTCTTTGTTTTGTTGCGTTTTATGTGACAGGTATGATCTTACAGGTCACACACTTCAACATGCATCTTCGCTCCCTGCACTGAAGTAGAGTGAGAGTGGCAATTTACAGGACAGGAGGGAGATTTATAGTGGCCGGATGTGGTTGGTTCTCAAATTTGAATTTATATTTTTTTTTCTTTAATCTTTTGATTGGACAATTTTTTTAATTTTAAGATGAGAAATTATAGTGATTTTATGCTCTAACCTCTTACAATTTAAGGCTTCTCAAACTTTAATTTGTCATTTTGCCAAATATAAGAGAACATATCTACTTTCTCTACTGTGAGAATCTTGCAGAAAGTAACACTACCTAAATCTATGATTTATTTCCACATGGATGTTTTATATGTTTGTAGCTCTTTTATCTCCACTACCTTGGCCAATTTCTGCTGGCCGAATTAGTTTTAATATTTGCATGAGCTGTTTTATCTTATGCTCAGGGTTATTTTCCGATTAACACGTTTCACCTCAAATCTATGATTTCATTCTTCCTTGACGGTTGTTAGCGGAAAGGTTGCCCAAATTTGATTTTGCACTATTTTTCTTCAACTGTTTTTAATTTGATTGTTTTTAGTTGCCGAAGTGCTCGTTTATTTTACTGTTTACCATTTACCGGTTACCTTAATGGCTGATATATCAAGTCGTTTTATAACCGTGATGGCTGATATCTATCTGATAGAAAAATATCTTTGTCATGCCTTTGTCAAGTTGCCTTAAATAATCTATTTATAGTGATGGAAAGGAGTGGTTCGGGTCTATGTCACATTTTAGCTAGTGTTTCAGCAAAACGGAGACCCTTGATTGTATGCTTACCTGAGAGTATGTGTCCAAGAACCTTGGGGAAACCTTCTTTCTAGTCAACTCTAGCACGTACCTTCTCCAGTAAAATTTCTGCAAGAAGCCTTCTTTCCGTAAATGTTGTTTGTTTCTTCTTTTGCTAGTTAGGTTCAGTTTATGAAAGCACACACACACACACGCGCACACACACACACACAACTAGACGCTATTTGCCTCTCACCCACTTTTGCATCATCTATTACCGTACCTTATGCAGTGAAAAACATTTGGACATGCTACCCTGGAGTTAGTTATTTTTGGAGTTATGTTTGCAAGTTGTCATCGAATACCATTGTCTCTATCAAGATATGCATGTGATAGGCCATCATCTATGTGCATCCATGCATGTTCATAAAGGACTTTATGTGCATATGTATCACATAAATGTTTGTCGTTTCATGTATTCTGAATTTTTTTTGGCATTTTGTTAAAAAAAAAAGACTCCTGATTGTGTTACTACAAAAAGCTATCTGCATGTTTCTGGCGTTTGCCATTTTGTCTTGACAGTTTTCACGATGAAAAATTCAATTTGTGACCATGAATTTCTTTCGTTCCCATTTCTAATGTCAAAAATCATCATATCCCCGAAAAATCATTATCTTGATTTTTAGTACCAGGTTACATACGTCCGTGTTTGTGAGTCATTAGTTGATGAGAAGTCTGATGGAAATAATATTGTCATGCTCGTATGGAACCATGCATGTGCAATATCTGTTGCACCAAACGAGTCTCTAATCAAGCCGTCTTTGTAATTATTATCCCGTAGGCAAATTGTGTTTAAAGCATTAACTTTTCTTCTCACCATTCAAAGATGGGATATTACACCTTCCACACTCATATCCCAACCCAAAGGCGGTACGGTTTGTAAGAAAAGAAAGTGCTATCCTTAAATTGTCACATCTCTTTTGCTATTTGCTGAAATGATTTATTTTGGTCCCAAAAGTCTCAGGCAACGTATCAAATAACCAAATAACCGACATGCTTCATATTCGCCATAGTATTTTTTTTCCCACATCAGTTGATTGAGAAAAGGCCTCCTAACCTTACGGAACTTCTCTTACACAAACCGTTATGAAATTCTCTTCTTCAAACACGTAACTTTCTTGATCTATTGCAGTTAATGTGCCTTCAATTTGTGAAAAATAATTATAAGTTTGCACTAACGAATAACTAATTTTCTGCAGGTTTAAGATTAGACGAGGACAAAAATACCTAGTTAGATACTAAAATGCTATGAAGAGATCTCGAGGATCTTAGTGTAGTAAGACTCTTAACATTACTTGTCTCTCTATTGCTAACAAGATATACAGCACTTGTCTCTCTATTTTAGACAGTCAATAATACTCTCATGAAATCTAGACTTTGACTTCGTTTATTTATTTATTTTAGCTAGCACCTCTAGCATAGAGAAAATGGTTTAGTGGAGAGAATCTTCGACAGCTAGATTGTCCACATTATTTGGTCTCGTTTCTTCATGAAAATGTCAACTAAAAGAAACATTAAAGAAAAAAATTCCCAACAATGGAGGCAGATCCATTGAGTCGAATACGAACAAGATCAAGAATTGACTATTGTTTAGTCCTCGTTTACATAATTCTTTATTTCTTCACCTTATCCTAGTTGGTGGTGCTTCTTTACAGGGTGCACGTAGTGGAAGATGGTCACGGGGGTATGTAGTGCGAAATCAACTCTTGGACGATCTTCAGTAAATATCGACAGAAGCTGTAAAATGTAAATGTAGCTAAATTAATTCATTTATATATAAATATATTTTATGATGTATAACGTGTTTTCCGATTTACATATTTTGGTAAAACGATAGGAGATTGGAGACAAGTTTTAAAGTGAAAAGGTGTAGATGGGATGCCACCATGCTCTACTTGCATGCACATGCACCAGCGCTTAAGCAGCCCACCACATGTTGTAATCTCTCTCTCTCTCTCTCTCTCTCTCTCTCTCTCTCTCTCTCTCTCTCTCTCTATATATATATATATATATATATATATATATATATATATATATATATAGATAATATTACAGAATGCCTGAAGTTTGGTTCTTTCATTATCTATCATGTGATTACAGTAAAAATAAATCCAATATCTTGAAAAACGATGGTTTTCACAAGATAAGTTTTTATATATTTTGTA